TTGGTTTTTGTACGGATTAAATAAATGAGATATAAATGTGTTAATTAGCAAGCTTTAGAGGTGCTGGAAGGCAGATTTAGTTACCTTGGGACAGAGCCAGTCTAGCTGTTCCCTCTGTTTCCAGTCTTAAAGCTAAGCTAAGTTAGCTGGCTGCTGGTCGTTAGGTCGTTATACATGCAAGTGGTACCGATCTTCTCATCTAACTCCCAGCAAGAAACAAATACGCATATATCCCAAAATGCTGCACATTTCTTTTAAATTCTGGTGTGACCGGGCCTTAAAGTATACATGCTTGCCAACACAAGGGTTTAAATCTGGGTCACCCAGTTGAAGGACAGCCATTGTTATTGCCATATGTCACACAGCGGATACTCTTATGTAGAGCAGCTCACAGTGTGGTGAGTGCATACATCTTGCGCATAATTGGCTCCGATGGGATTGACTGAAACAACCTTCCAACCTGACCCCACCTGACATTGCACAACCCAACCCACGCTCCAGCTAAATCGGAGCCAATAAGGTCTAAAAATACTGTACCTGTGTAAGTATTGGGTGATCTCAGAGCTTAGGTGGCAAAGCATAAGGGCCTACTGTACAACACTGGACACCGAGAGACAATTTTTCAAAGAGGACCTCTCTGCAAAACGATTATGGTCTCTGAAAATCAAACACCAAAAAGGTGCACCTCCTAAGTGCTATTACTGTAATTCACTAAACCAAAAGGTATGGCAAGAGCCCAGCATATAAATAATATCATTTATCATTGAAAAGTACAGCTCCAGGTATAGTGAATACAATTTTGGAGACAACTGTAGCAATGATGAATAACAAGATATTAGGTTTGCTTTATGATAAATCATTTGGCCCAGAGGTCACCACGTTATCAGAACTGAGGGAACATTGTTTCTTTTTTGTATAGCTTCCTGGCTGTAGTTTAATGCCGTTTTCAGTACAGAAATGATTAAAAGATGAAAGCAAAAGAAATTACTTGTGTACATGGATATTGGTGTTTTGTAGTTACTGCAAAAATTGTGAAATTACACTCTTCCTCTGTCACTGCTTTTTCATTAAAATAATAGTCTTGTGCACTTTTTTTACTCCGATTATATTGTGTTTAATGGTCACTTTTAAAGGTCAACAAGGGTAAAAATGAAACACTTTTTAATCAATTCTCCATCTCTTTTAAAATTGACTTTTGCTGTTCAAGTCATTTATTTTTCTATCTATCTCTTGTCTGCCATTATAACTTTAATTCCATAACCAATATATAAAACAACTATATTTAAATACTACAAAGTGGTACATAGTATAAATATTCCTTATTAAGGCACTGCCTTGTCTGTTTGTTCCACAACAGGAAGTGCATTATATGTCCCCAGGTGGGCAGAGACACGGTGCACAAATCCAGTCATACAACAATTCAAGGTCAGACTGACCCTAAAAATGTGACATTGTACAAATTTGATCAGAGTGAAATTTGACCACCGGGTCACACTGAAGAGACTCAACTAATACAAGTGTCATTTAGACTCTAGACTCTGAATTATCTTGTGGATTGGCCCTGAAAGAGAAGAAACCAATATGTTTAAATAAATAAATCAGACCTGACGGCCAGATTACAGGTAAACACTTCAGCAGTGTTGGACACATTACGTATTCCACCAGAATGTAATCATAATTACTTATTACAGTCAACTTTCAAACAATCATAGCAGTCTGTACATTGTATTTACATTGCTTATGATACGTAATCTGATACATGTCCTTTCATTTATCCCTGTCCTACTGCTGCACAGTCAGGTGAAAACTAATCATGGGTGAAGGTATTATATATATATCCACAACAGGATGATGCTCCTTTACCATGTTTTTATGTGAAGTAGACGCACAGACCTCTTTTCATCTTCAACTATGCAAAAAAATACCTGAGCTGGCATCCAATGTCTGAATCTGTCATCTTGGTTTGAAGGCCATTTTAAGGTGTGTGTGTGTGTGTGTGTGTGTGTGTGTGTGTGTGTGTGTGAGAGAGAGGGAGAGAGAGAGAGAGAGAGAGAGAGAGAGAGAGAGAGAGAGAACGGTTGAGAAAACCATGGACAGCTGACAGACTGACATGCTGTGTACATGTCAGATCACGATATGAAACTGACCTCAGTCTCTCTCTCTCTCTCTCTCTCTCTCTCTCTCTCTCTCTCTCTCTCTCTCTCTCACACACACACACACACACACACACACACACACACACACGTCTTATAATGATGTCTGTAAGGAGGTGACAGGTGTGTTGGCTTAAAGATTTTGTCACCCTGTCAACTGTGTGTGTGTGTGTGTGTGTGTTATTTAGGTTGAAAGAGGTTGTAACATGAGAAGGCAGACAGTCTGTAAGCCTAATCCTAACCAAAAAAAACTGACAAAAGTGGAAAAACACTAAGATGGAAAGAAAGAAGAAAGGAAAGAAGGATGGACCAACATTTTGGTAACACCTTATTATCACTGCCCAATATTAATATTGTGTTTATCTGTCTTCTGCTATAAACTATATATATATATTCAAGAATACATTAGTGTTTTAATGACGTGCTTTATATTAAGTGCTTTATATCTGGTATCACTGGGAAAAAAAGTTGATCTAACTTTATATTGTGCTTTTCTGACCCACCCACCTACCTTTATGGACTAAAAACAAAAAGGATTTGGTTTTTTGTTTTCTGTAGTTTCATGCTGTTCCTACCTTTTATGCTTCAGGAATGAAGAATAGGGGTGGGAAAAGAGTAACGGCTGAAAATAACACGTTTGTGTTTAGGGCTGTGCTGAATTACTTCAACCTCTTTTGGTCCAGTTCATTGAAAATTATATCAATTATATACGATGATAGACAGATGGTTTAGCCAATCACCTGTCAAGTATTTTTTGAAAATGTTTCCAAAGATGACGTCCCTGACGGTTCTATGTAATCTGGCACAGTCAGGTTAACATCTCCACCCTTCTTTTTGTCATTCGGCCTCTCATTCTCTTTTGCACTAGATCAAATAAAACTTTATTGGGTTATAGAGACTGGCACTGCAAATCCACATTGCTTTCTCGGCAGAAAAAAATCATCCCAGTAAATGTTGTAGTGTGACTTCATTTGGGAGGTTATTGTTGTGTGCACTGCATGTGTGTGTATGTGTTTACCTGCCTAACTAGAGACTAGCAGGAACATAGCGTCCCCACAGATGCCTGAATCATCTATAGTTACATCAAACCCCCACAGGAAAAACAGAAAACTTTAATATCTCCTCTCCCATTTTATCTTTCTGTTGACCTTCTTTAATTCAACTGTGATTCAGTTCTCTTGTTTCGCCCTTTCTCTGCCTTATCGTTTTCCTGCTCATTTTTCTTTCCTCTCACTTTTCACATTTTCAGTAGATATTTTAAACAGTGTGAAAAATGAAACCATTTAAGTCTCTTCTGTAATTCTTTTGTTCTTTTCTTAGTTTGGTCCAACCCACTTCCACAGTGCGTTGGAAGCACATAAACAGAAGCAGAACCAAAGCCAAAATTACTCCCACCTGCCGAGCAACACACACACACACACACACGCGCACACACACGCACACACACACACACACACACACACTCCACACATATTTTAACAATACAAATTAAGACAAGCGATAAGACAAACATCACTCAATCTCTCCGGCCCAAAAGAGAAGAAGATAAGTTATATTTTTTTATGTTTATTTCCCTTGAAGGCTAATTAGACGATTTTCACAGCAAAGCAAAGTTCGCACATTTATTTCACAGAACATTTTCTAAATAATGCTGCACAGCAAAAATGTTCATCTAGACATTAAATCTTCAAAAATAGAACCATTATATAGTTCAGCTTGTTCGACTAATAGCCATAATTATCTTGTCTTACAGCAACACCATAGAATAGAGCACATTTTGCACTTCTCCTTATTTATTATTATATGTATTACCAGCTTTGTTACAGTCCTCTTTAGCTGTCCAATGCAATCACAAAATATGACTTAGTATATAATAGTATAAATAAAAATAGAAATATTTTGATTTGATGGTTTAGTAAAAGGTCCAGTGTGTATCATTTAGGAAGATCTATGGGCAGAAATGGAACATAATATACATAACTATGTATAATTACCTGAATATAGGAATCATTAAATCTTTTGTTACCATAGAATGAGCTGTTTTTATCTTCAGATGCCATGGGTCATCTTCTATGGAGTCCACCATGTTGAACCGCCATGTAGCTCAGAATGGACAAACCAAACACTGGCTAGAGATAGGGCCTTCTGCTGTTTCGAGGCCACTGTAGTTTTTCCTACACATTTCACATCCTGTTCTCATTCCTGTGTCGTCAAATATAGATGCGAGCAGTGTTCAGTTAGTTGCAACTTCACAGCTAGATGCCACTAAATCCTACACACTGGTCCTTTAATAGATGCCACTAACATCTACGGTGGTGACATGTGAATGCATAAGGAGCTCAAAGAAACATGTGGCCAACATACAGATTTTAATTTTGCATTGCTGATTCATTCTTAAACTCAACTCAAAATAAATATCCATTAAAGCTAAAGAAGTAATAAAGTTGGCTGTCTATTTTATGTTAACATGCTTTTTGGGACAGGGAAAACACTGCCTGCTGAAAATCCTGCCGATGAGCAGTTAGAGTGAGCAAAAACAGAAGAATTGTGGACTGTGAAACCAAAACTATGAGCTGAAAGACTCTAAACAGAAATAAGGGGAACTGCACAGTTGGTTACAATTCTCTAATTCATAGTCATTTTAACCATTGTTATATAAAACTATTGATCATTGCTGCTTTAAGGACTACAGTAATCATGCACTAATACAGTATTTTAATACTGAAAATGTTACAAAGAAGAGCTTGCACCTGTCCTTTTCTTTAAAATGACCTGCCTGACCACACATATCATTTTCCATCTATCCATTCGTCTATCATCCATCCATCAACCCATCATCCAATCCTCCTACAGTGCCTCCACCAGTCTTTTCACTGAACAAATCACACCAGACACACTGCAGATGACCCCTAGACTCAGTATACACACATCTGTCAGCCGAGTCCTCACAGATAGGCGGCCCCACTGCAGTCTGAGGTGAAACAGGCAAGGCAGTATGAGCGTCATAGCCGCCCCGGTCACACTGCCTGTCAAACCCATCAATAGGGAGAATCTGGGGACTAGCAGGGCCAGTAGGTATGATGTCATCAGCAAGGCACAGCGGACCAACAGGGCCGGAAGAGACACACCTCGACCTCCGTGTTTGGAGTAGGATGAGACAACAGCATCTGTAGAAAGGCAGAGAGTGGCAGTTAGTTTTGACCCTGCGAGCCACTCCTGTTTACGGGACGCTCTATCCTGACTCATTGTTTTCCATCTATGTAGACGTGTCATCAGCCTCCAACTTTAAAACTGTGAAATCATAACAGTGTGACATCATTTTAATAAGGCAGTACTTAAGTGCCACTTAAGCAACATTATTTACTGCAAGAACTGACACCTTTTTTTAATAAAAGCTGTAGAGGGCAGGGAAGCTTTAAATGACCAAAGTCATCTTTTCTTTTTAAAACTACATCACATCACTTTGGAAGTATCATAATTTGATGACTTCATGACTGTTGACAGTCAATAATTAAGACAAGTTCAGGCATGGTGACGAATGTGTTGACACTCAACACATAAGCAAAGTTTCCCTGATCTCTCAGCTCTATCATGTAAATAAATGACGTGATATTTGCTTGTTGTACTTTATTATTTTATTATTATTGCTGGGTTGTATTTTTGGACATAATACGTTAGGTTTCATTTCATATTTTGACCCTGGTCTTGATTTTAGGTCCTTTTATATAATTTTTGATTAATTGTATTTAGGTTGTTTGGCTAGGTTGATGTCGGAGATACACCAACATCTAAGTTAGTGTTCCTATTGTATTGAGAGTATGTATTTCATATAGTGTCTGCTGTTTCATGTCTTATTTATGCCTCTTCTGTTATTTGCCACTGTGCATGGACAATCAAACAGGTTTCCCCCCGTGGGGAAGTGATCTAATTTGAATAAAGGACACTTGTCAGTCATGTTGTTCATAGTGTGAAAACACAGTGAGTGTCCAGTATTTAAATATCTGGGCTGAATCTTTTCTTAAAACAATGTTCACTTCATCAAAACATATATTTCCATTATCTTTCTTGGTAACCATAATTTTGGTAGTTATGGGGGCTCAGGGGTGGATGCCAGCAGGTGGTGGTCTGCGGGCTAAACAAACTTTTAATCGAAAGTCAGATAAGAGCTCATTCTCTGTTCCTGCAAGACTGAAACACCTGCAGGGTTTTCCACAAGAAGCTTCCCAGTCTAAACACAGTTTACTACTGGTGACCTCTGGAGCTCAAGGGATACTGGGTTGTATGAAAGAGTAAAAATGTCACTGATTCACTTTCTTAAATACTATTTTTATTGAGCATCCAGGGATTTGAACAGGCAAACCTCCCACCAAGTGCCTGCATCTCCAGGCTTCTGCTGCTCTACAGAGTATGTAGAAATATGTAAAGGAAAGGACAGCTTCCCAGGGCCATGTGTGGTCTACATATAATTCATTGGAACTTATAAAATGTAGATCTACACTCAATTTTAATCATTACACCTTAGATCAACTTACAATCTTTTAAATAGACGGCCTGAAGGAATTCGTACATCATGTATACTTTGGGTAAAGTCAGTGGTTTGGGCAATGTCGGTAGTGTTCACCTCCAAGCAGACACGTTTGTAGTATTTCAGCAGCAGAGTAGAATGGCAGAGGGTAGGACAGCAGGGCTTTAGCCAGCAGACACAGGTTGACGAGAGGTCGAAGGTCAGAGGGCAGGTTGTCTGTGATGACCTCACTGGTTTCTGCCCCCCAGGTCACCACAGCCTAATGGAGGAAGCAATCAGTCAATCAATCACTCCAATTTTCTGTTCCTCCTCCCATCCTTTGATTTCACTTGCCATTTTCAGCTAGATGTTGAACCACTAACCAGTAATGAGAACATTGTTTTCATGATGCAGGCGGCACCATGAGTCCACCCCAGCATGGCATCAAACTGCCCTCTATCCTCCATACTGCCCTCTAGAGGAGGGAGGAAGATCTGCGAGGTGTAGGAGAAGATGATGACGCCCACCGAGACGAGAAAGTCCTCCGGGTCCACAGACAGGGACAGAGAGGACCAGGACCAGCTGCTGGCTCGACTCAGACAGTATAGCATGACCAACAGGCTGACAGAGGGTCAGAGACAGAAGGAGAGAAAATGAGAAAAAATAAGGCCCGACTTAAATTTAAATTAATTTAAAACCATTCCTTTTGTTTATTCATTCATTCAACATTTGGTTGTACAGCACAGTCCAATTAATTGTTCCTGTATGGTTTCAAATCCTCCGACTTCTTAAGCTAAATAGTGCATTTAAAACTAATTGTGTGAGCTGAAAAATGTTTTGGCACAAAGCTGAAAACAAGGCTGTTTTTCTTTGCTCTTTGACATTTTCGAGATACATGGTTGTTTGTTTTTTATTAATAATCTTGCAATTATAGAATTGGAATAATTTCAATTGTTGGATGTTTGGGCCATTATTCATTTGAAAAAAAATGATAAATGTAACCAGAAATACTGCCACAAATTTATAAATTGAGGCATATCCTACAGACACTACTGATATTTTTCACTAAACTGCTTAAATGTTGTGTTCACCATTACTATTGTGCAGTTACTTTTATTTTCTGATTTAATCTCTGCTCTTGAGGGTGTCCCAATTAATTCAAGCAGCTACAAGAGATTCAGCTAAATTAGATAAGTAGGTACAAATAAAATATTTCCCCCTCTCCTTAAGTCTTGAATTGTAAGGGAATAAACTGAGAACTAACGTGTATTTACACATGACTTAATAGCGAAAGAAACGCTCTGAGAGATCAGAGGGATCCAGGAGAAGGAGAACTTCAAGAGCCAGCTCAATTTTCCTTGTCTCGTGCAAGACACCTGGCATGAGAAATAAATCAAACAACCCGTAACAGCGGTGGGTAGCAGGTGGGAGCAGACAGCATAACCAGCAGCAGCTGCAAAATGATCACAAGAGTGAGAATGAGAGCAGATTATAAAAAGCGCCTTGTTGTCTTGATTTAATATGATTGGTGAGTTTTGTCAGCTGGTACTGATCAGCTGACAGCGTCTTTCTGTCACAACAAACATGATGCTACTTTTATCAAATCACCTGATCAGTATGTGAGCCAGGGAGCAGAGCAGACTGAGGGTGGAGACTGGTCTGAGATCAGTCAGCAGCAGACAGGGCAGCAGGAACATCAGAGACACCAGAGAACACACGGATCTAGGAAGAGCCATTCCTGATAGACTCTCAGACAACAGACTGGTGGAGACGACTAGATACAGGGTACAGGTCATTAACAGTTCAATCATCTGAAAAAGGGGTGAAAAGAAAGGTGTTTATTTAAAGCATTTACTGTGTATTGTGGGAAACAGAGGACATTTCTTTTCACCTGAGTAATCTACATAAGTTAAAGGCCCAGTGTGTAGGATTTAGTGGCATCTAGTGGTGTAATTGCAGATAGCAACTCCCTCGCTTCACCCTCCCCTTCCAAGTGGCCGCAAAACACACAAAAAACACCAACGCCACTACCTGGAATAAGTGTCAGCATCTCTAGATTAAAACGGCTCATTCTAGGGTAACAAAAACACAACACTTCCTATATTCAGGTTATACATTATACTGCCAATAAATCCTCCTAAATGGTACACACTAGTCCTTTAATGTCCAGTATGAAGTCTCAAAATAATAATCTATTTAATAATCCAAAAGAATTATGTAATTCCACTGGTTTCAAGTTTCAAGTTTCAAGACTCTGTTTAGACGTGTGTGTGTGTGTGTGTGTGTGTGTGTGTGTGTGTGTGTGTGTGTGTGTGTGTGTTACCTGAGCCAAATTAACCATCCACCCCCCCAGTCCAGGCCAGTGGGGCCACAGTCCTTTGCAGCACGCTTCCACTATGTCCTGGTAACTGTGTCGGACTCGGATCTTTGCCACCGAGCCAGACCCTCCACTAAAAGACACAAACATGTAGTTTTTACCATTGTCGCTGTTTTTAAAGTTACAGCATGTTGTCTTTGAAATAATGAGCATACACCGATCTGTCTCTCAACCTTTGTACATAAGGCGACAACTCTACCAGGTGAGCTATAGGGCATCCCATAATGAACATATTTTTTACTACATATTTTGCAAAAGGTTTTCACTCAAAATGTTATAGTTTTATAAGCTGTGTTGAAGCTTATGTTCAATTTTTTTTTTAATAGCTAGTAATGTATATTTAAAATCAATTGAACCAATCTGAATCAGAATTTAATTTGACTGAACCCCACAGGGCAAATGTGAAGACAAATACCACAGTTTTACAGAACATAACACATTCACATTTCTTTTAGCTGTGGCAGTAATATATTTCCGAGGCTCGCCACTGCTGAATAACGTGTATTTGGGTTCTAAAAACTCTCTGCTCTGTGTTCATACCACAATTGGGTCTATATTCCCCCCGAGGAGTCTGAATAGAATAGAAGGAATAGATATGAGAATGACTCTGCTGTCAGAAATGATAGTCGCCATTGCAGAAAATAGAGAAGAGAGCACTATCTGCAGAAACTCAAACTTAGTCAACAATGACTCCAAGAAAAAAACCCATCCCAGACACACAAAGTTAAACTAGTTGCTTGGTACATCTTTGCTATCACTAAAACAGAAAGCCAAATGTAGTAAAGCGATATTACAGTTGGCTAATTGAAACCAAATGAATAGAATAGCATAGAGCAGAAACCCTACCTTTGTTCCTCTTCATATAGACAGGCCACCAGGATCCTCCCTGTGTGGTTACAGATCCAGGCCGACAGAACCAGCAGAACAAGACCCACATAACCTGACTGGACCAGAGCAAAGGGTAAACCCAACACGAAGATACCCTGATGGAGAGGAGAGAGAAGGAAAGAATGAACACAAATGTGTAGGTTTATGAGGGAGATAAGACATGAGACCCTCAAACCCTCTAAAACTCTTTCATGGAGCGCCCTGCTATTGAAACACAGACCATGAAACCATGGTGCAATTCTGGCTGGGTACCTTTGTAGCGTGTCATTATCTCTCTTTCTCCCTGTGTTTCCTGTCTCTATACTAAATAACGGCAAAAACACTGATGCTAAAAAGAAACTCTCTCTAATCCTCCACACTTCTTTTGATGTTTTCCCTTATGTTCCACTAGATCACTTATACTGGATTGGTTTATTGTGCAATAGTAATTTATTTAAATGGATAAATGTAAATTGGCTGGCTGGCAGTTTTTCATTATATAATATCATTAACCAGTTTATATGTTTATGATCTTTACCGTTAACCTTTATATTTTTGACATTGTGTGTATTTTTGCGTTTTATTATTTGCACCCATGCTTATATTTTATACTGGCACTCTTTCCTTCTTTGTACTGCAGCAGTTTCCCACAGGATGAATAAAGTTTTATCTTAAGTTATAAAAGAAATGTAAAAACCTTTGTCACAGCCTTTGTCACAGTTGTAAGTCAAACTTTACAATACAATTTTTAGTCAAACCAAAGATAAAACAAAATAAGTGCAAAAAGTAGGTGGGAGAAAGGATGTTGATATGTAAACAAGAATATCCCCCTGTACAACAATACAGCATACAAAGAATATAGTACACATCTCTAAGTCAACATACTGCATGATGCTCATTTTCCACAGTTAAAACGTGTTTTCATGAGAAATAATTAGCCCAAAATCATTGAAATGTGAAGATTCTCAAACTTTGTTGAAAGAAAATAGGAAAGAAAAAAATGAGGAAGACCTTTGAAAAGGAGAAAAGAGAAGAGAGGATTGTTCATGGTTGGAAGATGAGGAGGTGAGAGGAGATTTTTTGGCCACATGCCTGGAGAGTTCGAGCATGCAAGGAGACCAGCGGGAGCAGAAGGAAGAAGAGTGTCGAGCTTTGGCCCATCACCAAGGGGAAGCAAACGTTAGCGACTGCCAGAGAGAGGAGCAAGGATGAGCGGGACTGGAGGTGGATGAGGTAGAAGGAGAGAAGGAGGAACGAGAGGTGTGACCTCATAGCTACAGAGAGCAGGAGATTCGAGGGAGGAAGAGGAGGACGAGAAGGAGATCAGAGGAGACAACAAGCTACTTTGATGGAGCTGCTGTGTTTTCAGTGTTGGAACACGGAGACTCACTGGGAGAGTTATGGAAATACATCACAGCACATCATCCCGGCCGACACGCACACAAACACACATTGTGGATGCATAAACAGACAAGCACACATTCTCTCTCTTTCAAGTTACTATTTTGTAACTGGTGTCTGTTAGGCATATGCTGATAGAGCTTTGATGTTCAAATGGAGCTGCTGGGGATGAAAGCAGTTTGAGAGAAATCTGACGCTCAAGTATCTGATTTCATCTCCCCCCTCTCTCTCTCTCTCCACTCCTCGTTCTCTCTGTGTTTTTGCCAGCTAATTCCTCATTGGTTACTCTGAGCACAACCTGAAGCAGCTCCCAATCACAAATGGGTACAATAAGGGAGAAAAAAATATATATCTCTGATTGACTCTGAAGAAGATGGAAAAGATTATTCTGTTCTGCATCTGACACCCAAGACACCTTTAAAATTAGTTTATTCAAGGGATGTTGGCCAAGCACATATATGCTTTTTATTTCATACCTTACATTCTCAATATTGGCCACCAAGCAGCAGTGACCTATGCTAAAAAAAAAAAAAAGATTATTCACTGCTCCTGTCTGGACTTCCCAGGTGCAAGATTTCATCTGTTGCCCTTCAGGTTATGCACAATATTTTATGCAAGCACATGCCCCATGCACAAAAAGTGATAGAGAAATGTTTTTCCCCACCATGAGGGGATAAAGTGGAGCAAACGGACAGGTTTGACATTTAAATAACTGGATGTGGGTTTTTTGTACACATGACAAATGTTCTACTCCTGCGTTTAATCAAAGTTTGTTTAACTGGTTCAAACGAAAAAACTCTGAAAAGGATGTGTCCAATTTGTGCCTTCGTCTCATAATTCTTTCACCATGTACAAATGTAATTTTCACACACTTTCTGTGCACAAGTAATGTGTAAATCAGTGTTCATTAAATGTGTTGAGATCCTAGCGACTGTTACTTCATTTGATGGTGATCATAAAAGGTGTTATAGCACTGTGAGGTTTACAGCAGACCTTTTTCCCAGCAGCCATTTTAACATGAAATAGGGTAAATATAGGTGTTAGCAATGATACTAATTAAGGCTCTGTTAAATTAAATGCGGAAGAGCCTTTCGAGTGAACCAACATGCACAATAGCAGCACCCTGACTCAGTTTGACCTGAATAGAACCGAACCTTAATTAGTGTCACTGGTAACGCCTCTGTTTACCCCACTGTTTCAAGTCAAAATGGCTGCTTCTACAGGCTAATAGTACTCTGCGTGATGAGTGAAGTGCCCCTTTACTTAATAGGAAAGAAAAATCAATGGATTAATCAATAATTAATGATGATGATTTTCTACAGCTTAACTGGGTTTTTATATGTTTGTGAGAGTATCGTGGTCAGCTGCTGCGGTTTGTCATCAAAACTGACAATTAAAAGACCCCATAAACTAACGGGTTATTGAGAAAACAATCAGCAGATTAACCAGTAAGGGATGATTATGAAAACAGTTCCTTGGAGCAAGTTCTCTGATAGCAGATAACAATGAGAAGGATAGAGGAGGTGATCTACCAAACAACTGGTGGAAGATTACTTTTTTAATCTTTTTAAGCACTTTTTTTTTTTTTTGGCAGGGTCTTATTAGGCAGCGTGATGAACCAAATATGACAGCAATCTTTCCAAAACAAAAAGGGACCACTCTTGTGTTTGAATTTGAAAAACCCATTCAGAACTTGGGTCTTGAATTTTCAAACCAGTTCAAGGTAAAAAAAAAAAAAAGACATGGAAAAAAAACTGATAACCATAGGCAGTTAAATTAATATCTGTTCTTTTCAGTGTCAGAAACAAAAGTTCCACAACTTTAATCTGCAATGAAGAATCACAAACTGGAGCTGCCTCATTAACGGTCAGGTTAGAATTAAATCTGAGTTTCATAATATTCCCAAATCGGGAGCCTTGAGAGCTGGAGCTGGTTTTTGCATTTTTTGGCACCAAAATTGCTCTCTAATAAAAACTGTATTAAGCTGGCAGACAGTCAGTTATATTGGCATCAATAAACCACTACCGGAAAATACATATTTTCTTTTTAGCCTTGATAGGAGATAAAACTGCTGTTCTTTTTTTCCATTATCAAGACATCTGTTCGCCCCTTTACAAATGCATCAGCCATTATTGAATCAGATTATCATTTTGCGTCCTTTATCTTTACTAAGTGGTTACCCATCACTGTCTGAGATTTTAAACACCTTCAATAAAAATACTTTTTGTCTACATTAGTCATCCTGCAGTCACCTTAGCTTAACCTATCTGTAACCTCAACGAAAATGATTACAGTGCAATCCATTTGGTTAAGGTTCCTGATTACAGTGTGCTGCAGGTAATGAATAACCTATAAAACATTCACCAACCCCACAGTCCTGGAAAGAAGCTGACACTGTTTCAGCAGAGTTTTACAAAAAAGAAAAAACATGCTGCAGTAAAAAACTGTAAAATGAGAACTATTCAAATCACAGCATGGTTTTAGGGACAAATGAATAAAATATAGCTGGAAGTATTGAGGTTACAGAAGTAACAAATCATAGATTTGAATAGGCAATTAAAATCAGTAACATGATTCACTAGAGACCAGGTTTCTGTGCCTTGTCTGGCACAGAAACTTGGTCTCTAATGAAAACTGGAACTCTCTGGCAAACAGATAGATAGACTAACATCAATAAACCAAGCACATAAAGTACTTGTTTATCTACTAAATATAATGTGTTGGTATATGTATTTATGTTCTGATAGCAGTGCTAACACTGATTAAAAACCTGCGTGTTTAAAGCAATCTGACGCAGAAGCATGTAAATTCACCTCAGCTCCTGAAGGAACACGTTTGCATGCATGCTTTCATTTGTCACTGTGTGTGTGTGTGTGTGTGTGTGTGTGTGTGTGTGTGTGTGTGTGTGTGTGTGTGTGTGTATGTCTTTGTGTGTGTGTGTGTGTGTGTGTGTGTGTGTGTGTGTGTGTGTGTATGTCTGTGTGTATGCATGCGTATGCTGTATTGATGCCCTAATGTCATAATGTTCTTTACGGACCTAGAGACGGCGTTCAATTACACTACAGTTATTCAGTGAAAGAGCACATTTACATGAGTACAGCAGTTGAATACGGCGCAGCAGTTACAGCATAATAAGCTATTAGCATTACCGCCATAAGGGCACACTGTGACTGGGAGCTTTTCTTTTTTTTAAATGATTTGATTCACGCTTTATTTGATTATGAAGACTGTAGAGTGCTTGACAAACAACAGCACAAAGTAGGACCACAAAGCATTTTTTTAGTAATATTAAAACACAACGGGAGCAGATTAAATAGGCTGCAGGTTTAATGCTTTTTACATTTTGCATTTGTCTTCTATAAGAGGGAAGAGAGAGAGAGAGAGAGACATGAAGTTTTGGTGAAAAGGGAGGAATGAAGTGCTGAAACTGAACCGACAAAATAATTAATTGCAAGTTTGCAGCTGCAATAAACATGAGCTATGTTATCAGAAGACTGCTGTTCAGCAGCCGACTCAAAATTTGAAACAAGTAGCGCTTCACAATTATTGAGGTTACAGAAACTCTGAAATAACTCTGACCGACACTTACAGGTTCATGGATTGGTTATGTTGAGCAGGTTTCATTCTATTGAAAAACTACATAATTTAATAGAGATTTATATCCAAGATGACTTTTTGGGGTTATGTGTCTTGCCAAGGAAGCAGGAAAAGGGAGGGATACCTTTGTGTATATACATGGCTGGAGAGTAAAACGTACTCATAGGCCTTAAAAAAGGTGGTATCGAAAACATGAAAAACCTTTGTAATCATCCTTTAAATTAAAATGTGAAAGTTGCCATGCATGTATACTATATAGGTGTACCTGTATAGCATTTGTGACATTCCAGCCAGCCTCCCAGGCAGTGATGGTGGCCGTAGGATTCAGACCTGTGGTGGCGGAATTGGGGCTCTGAACTGGATTAGCTAAAATCATCCCTGCTCGCTCTTCTTCAAAGCTGGTACCGACCTGAGAAGTCCCCTCTGCAGTTCCCTCTCCTTCAATTTTCTCCTCTCTATCTTTAGAAAGTCTCTGTTTTTGCATATTCCCTCTAAGCAGCCCAGCCAGCTGGAAGGATCTTCTCTTGCTACCCTGGTTCTGGTTGAAACTCGGGTTCTCCTCGCTGTCGCTGCCCATCGTGTCAGCTTTCTTTTCAGCGGATCTTACTCTTTTGCCATAATGTCTGGTGTTTTTGAGCCAAAGGGGGTCTGCAGGGGAAACTGCTGATGTTATGGTGATGGTACTGGGTCCAGAGGAGATTACAGTAGCTCTGGTTTCTTTAAAAGCAGGACTCTTCTGCCATGAGTTGCTGGTGGATCCCATCAGGTTAGAAGCTGGTCTTTCCCTCACACTGGGATTATCTTGCTCAGTCCGTCTGTTTCTCCTGGTGTCATCACAGCTTGTATTATTTTTGTTTGTGATGTTGTCAAAAGGCAATCTGTTTTCCTCACCATAGGTTGTGTTCAACTCATCACTGTGGGTCAGAATCAGCATCTCTTCATCCTCCTGAAAGAACCTGCTGATCAAAACCACTTCATTAACGTTTGAGTTCATGGTTTCTGCAATCTCACCCACTAAAACGGCATCTTCTTAGTGCGAGAGGAAAATCAAGTTCTAAGAGTCCTCAACAATATTGCTGTTCCTTCACATGCAACGTAACATAATGAGTTTGAGAATTGAGCGCGGCTGCTGTCTGCTTTAATTTGAGGGGCCACAAAAAGATATCACTATGCTGGGGTAAATTGTCAGAATCTAGTGGAGTTTAGCTATTAAATTATAAATTATTATATATTATATATTAACCAACAATAGTAATATATAAATAAGACCAATTGTGTTTTTTATTGACTTTTAAAGTAATTTGAGACTCTACTGAAGGAAATTGCTATTTAAACAAACATTTCCAATTATGTGTATATATGCATGAAGTCACATGTTTATCACAGGTTAATGTTTATGAATCAGTTACCTAATTATAATTATAAATAATTCAAAGATTCTATAGGTAGTATATGTGAATGAACTTGGCAGATACTCTACATGATACGTAATATAGCTTTGTTGATGACAATACACCTACTTATATTTATATATATTATATATATTATAAATCTATATTTTAATATTATTTGAATATTTCAGTATGTAAATCAATACAAAAATAAATCTAAACACTAACATATTCCATGATGTGACTCACCTTGTTGTCCAGTCCAGCTGTAGCCTCGACACTGCCCAGCCCCACAGAGACCCAGCAGCACTCCAGGGCTGCCCAGAGCTCCGAGCCCAGTGAGGAGAGTCCATATTCAGCCTCACTGTCTGCAGAGTCAGCCTCCCTGCTCCTGGAGGTCTAAGGGTCTGCAGGGAGCTTGACTGACACTGGACAAATAAACATACTCATACACAAATTCTCATCCAGACCAACACTCGGAATAACCTGCCTATAAAGAAACTGCACAAACACGAGAGCCACACACACACACACACACACACACACACACACACACACACACACACACACACACACACACACACACACACACACACACTTGCATAACTACACACATTCACAGGTGTATGAAGTGACTGACAAGTTGGTGAGCTGTAACATTATAATATACCAGAGTTTTCAACGGTGAAGAAGTAAACAGCTACAATGGCCTGTAGATAAGGACACTCATGGATATAGTGGAGGGCAAACTTTGTTTAATTCACTTTTATTTTTGAGCAGAATAAAATGTATCCACCTTTACACGCCGATATAAAATATAAACTCACATTACAAAATGCTCTAATTAAGAATTTAACTACAGACTTTGGTGGTTGTGTTTTTGATATTGTGTAATTATTTAGCAACCTTTGCATCATCATCGCTCACTCCTGTCAAAATCAACTTGATACTAGTTTCGATTTGGAAACTTTTCTAGAAGCTTCGAGTTTAGAAACAAACCTAAAATATTAACAGTTATGTCTAATTGAATTAACATTCGGCTATGCTTTTTATGAATGTTCACACCTGGCTGCTTCAGTTTTTGCCCCAGAGTGTGGTGAGTTGTGCAGGGCAGCAGGAGGAGCCCTAGAACAGTTGTGTAACTTCTGTCCAACTCTGTTCTCTTCACTTCTGAACTTTTCTGTGCTCCATTTACTTCTTTTCAGCTCTTCTTTTTTCCCCTTTCTCCACAATGCTCTGTGTTCATGGTAGTCAAAGTTGTGTTGATGCAACATATCATTTGCTCTGTACCATCAAGCAATTTTTTTATTTCCAACATTTAAACAGCACACTGATGTATGCTTTAAAACCTTTAAATCATTCAGCTTTTTAGCACCTGCCTCACACTCATATAATATTGTACCAGCTGTGGAAGGTTTATTTACAATACTGCTTACACGCTCAATGGACTACAACGAAAAGTAAACAGATTATCCTAATTCAGGGCTGCCATATGCTCCCCAGGATGTAAAGTAAAAACTAAACATTTGACATGATTTAATCAATTGTTAGCAGTGGTGCAAAGTGCATGAACTCAACTGTACTTAAGGACTTAAGTAAGTATTTCAGTTGGATGGTACTTCTTACTTCCATTTTAGAGGCAGATTTTGTACATTTCAATCCATTTCATATGTATTTGACAGTTATAGGTAGGCTACTGGTTAATATCATACTATATAGCCTGTTATATGGTATTATATTCCATCTATCTATTTATCTATCTATCTATCTATCTATCTATCTATCTTTTCAAATCTTCCATGTGTTTTCCATCAATTTCTCCCTCCCTCCGGCCCACGTTTAAAACCTGGAGAGAAGGAGGAGAGAAAGCGAGGGAGAGGAGGAGGGGTAGACAGAGAGAGAGAGAGAGAGAGAGAGAGAGAGAGAGAGAGAGAGAGTTTGGGTCAAACTTCTACGAAACTTTCCTCTGACATTAAACGCAACGCAGAGCCGCGCGAGAGCACAGCGCGCGCGGTGCGGTATCAAACTTCAAGATTGGACGAAATGAAGCGACTCGTGCTTTTGATCGCGTTGCTATGGCAATGCTGCCATGCCCAGCAGAGAGGTGAGTCCCCCCCCCTCCCTAGAGACTGATAGATAAGACTACGGATCGATACGCCAATACACGGCACTGCTAGAGTCATTAACCCCAGAACAACAGTCCAATGAGCTCAGTGTCCGTCCCTCACGGCTGTAGCTCATTGCTCTTAATAAGCTAATCATGGCAACAGCTAAGTTACCTTCACCTTTGGACAGAGACATGATAATAGAGGGATATATATTTTTTATTTTACCTCGTGTGGTTAGCAAGAAGTTGTCCTCAACAATGAGAATTTTTTTTTTCCTGTCTTGAAATTATTGTTGAGTGTTTCTTTACTTTTGTGTCATTAAGTTTAACAGAAGAGGGCAAATCAAGTGAAAAGACCCACCCTGTTGAACCTGATTTCCGCACACACTTGTGAATGGGCGAAAAACAGCTGGCAGGAGAGCACAGATGAGAGAGAGAGAGAGAGAGAGAGAGAGAGAGAGAAAGAGAAAGAGAGAGAGAGAGAGAGAGAGAAGTGCTTTTGGTTACTGTTGTTCTGTTGTCATGTTGCAATTAGAAAACAATGTGAAAAAGTATTATTATCATCAGGGGTCAGAGATATGCATGTCTCAGTTGGATGTGTTGTGATTTTTATACTCATTAATCAAGTGAAGGGGTTGGCCTCTTTGCAGTTGCTGCTTGATCAACAGAGTTAATGATTATCCACTGTGCACTGTATGTCATTTTCTTACAAATTATACATCTACCCCCCTTAGGGAGTCCTGTTTTTCAACTTTTAACATAGTTGCAGTACATCAGACACTACACAGTTATATGTATGCTACTGGAAACGCCACACGGCTCTGTTGCATTGTTAAAGATCATCAAAAGATATTTTTGGCAAACAGTAAGTTATCTATACTAACCTTTGACCGTTTGCCAAGTTGGTTTTGACTTTTGTGCAAGGTGTCACTTTCAGCATGATATAAAGTCCTAATTATGATTGAGATTTCCATTTTTAAAGTATGCAAAGGACACATTCACAGGCCTTTTGTTGACTTTAGTGTTGTATGTCGTTTTTGTGTTGTGCCAGCCTCCTCCTATTCCTCTAAACATAGCTAACCATCAGTCACCACCTGACTTAAAGGGTCTGTTTGCAACCACCCCAGTACAATGGAGGTTAATTGTATTTTATTTGTGGTGCTTAAAGTATTGAGAATTACATTTAAAAAAGTTCAACGTGTGACACATCTCTCCATGATTCTCTCTGGATCATCCACAAACCTCACTGTCATCACTTCACTGTGGAATTTTCTTTCCACAAATAAAAAGTCCATGAAAACTGTTCACAGTGTGTTTCTGGAAAGACACGTTGATTGCTTTTAATGCCTTAAACACCACAAACAAAATTAATGTTTGATTTCAAAAGAATCTCTCGAAAACCCCGACAAATAAAACCACATTACTCTGCTTTAAGAAAGAAAATATTCTGTGTTTTTATGTCATAGGTGAATCAACCATTTTAAAAATCAATCGTGTGCTTTTGTGTGTGGGGACTTGACTTAGTCAACAATGAAAAATGAGCAACAATGCCCTGAGCAGAGAGGGGATTGACAGCTGGGACAGAATCAATATAACATGGTGCACAATAAGAGTCAAAATATTCATGCAAAATGCAGATTCTTATTATTAGTCAAACTGTCCCACTTGATAACAAAGATGCTGTAGAAAAGGACATTTTCCGAAGATGAAAACAAATTCTTTCCAGTGCACAGCGAGCGTGTGTAGGGTTTGTTTGCGTGTGTGTGTGTGTGTCTGTAGAGGATTTTTATTGTTGGTGGCGGTCGCTTGAAAGATGAGACAAATCTAGTGCTCGTCATGCTTTTTTCTATTTATCCTCTTCAAAACATCTCCAGCTACTGTTTAACCCAGAAGTGCTTTGGACCTCCTGCAGAGGGGAGGAGGGGAGGAGGGGAGGCTGCGGTGGCGGCGGCTGCCGTCAGGGACGTGTGTGTTTCTGCATTGTGTGCGTGAGAGAAAAAGTGAGTAGAAGGGCGGGAGAGGCCATCTGCATTAAGAGCCTCATTACCAGGCGTGTCAAGCAGGCATGCTCTCTATCAGCGACAGAGCTCAGAGAGACACCAGGAGATAATCAGAAAGAGAAGAGGAGGTGGAGGAGGAGGAGGTGGAGGAGGAGGAGGCCTGAAATAGAGAGAGAAGAGAGGAAAAAGGGTGCGTTCAAGAGTTATTAGGCATTGGAGGAGACATCAAGAGAAGGTAGAGAAAGGACGGGTGAAACAGGTAGATGGAGGGTTCAGAGGACACGAGAGAGAGGATGGAGTTGAAGATATAGTTATTGAGGGATTGGAAGTATACACAAACAACAAAGTTGAATGGAAATTGAAGTTTCTGAGACACTTTCCTCAGTTTCTCAACACAAGTTTTTATGCTGGTTGAGATAGAAAAATATTTGTCAGTGATGAAAACATACTTATTTTTTCTGGCAACATTACAAAAATTCAAGCAAGTTGGGCACAAAGATTGCTCAGTACCGAACACCATGAATGCATCTTAACAGACCTCATTGCAGAATGGATGGATAAACTGAGTATGATCAACAGAAAATAAATTGACACCAGTTTTGAAAACTGAATTATCTTAAACCTTCATCGTCACGATGATGGAAGGCTACATAAAGACAAACATTTTCTGCAACAGTTTTGGTTAGTTCACATGAGAGGTTTTGTGTATTTTGGTTTTATCTGTGCTCTTCTCACTATGGATGGGCAACTTAAGTAATTTCCGTATTCATCAGCAGCCATCTTGGCCCATAGGCTATATGTTGTTCGGACTTATCAGCCTTCAATTTACCACACTTTCCTCACACATCTTCTTCACTCTTGTAGTTGTTGTTCGCTGTAATGGTAGCTTGTCCTCCGGATCAACAATCAGACTGTGGAAGTTTAACAGGAGCATATCTCCAGTCAGCATTTGTCGGTAGCATCACAACACTTAACGTTAGCAACTGAGGTGAGGAGGGGTCGCCATCTCTGTTGTATTCTCCTTAATCTGCAAATAGTCAATCATAGGACTGGTTGTTCGATACACACGTTTAAGGTTACATACTAGTTTGCAATGCACGTTTATTTTGTCTACTTTTTTGACAAATGTCCAAACTTTACTTTTATGCCTGGTCGCAATTTTGCTTGTAACGTTAGGTGAATAATGTGTGACTTAAAGTTATCTGTGGCTGCACATGGGCAGATCTAAATGCGACCACTTGATTAA